TGTTCCCTTCGTCACTATCATAATAACGATTCCTAATGGCTCTCACCGGGAAAAACCCAAACACAGCACAAACCTTTCTGAGCAAACAGGCAGAGCTCTGCGTCAGCAGACACCAGAGTCCAGGAGGATGCTGGAAGGACTCTCTGCAGCCAGCTCCGTCTTTGCTTGTCACACTTTCTGTTGGAACGCCCCTCCCCCCCTGCCCCCACCCCAACGGGAGGGATTCATCATCACCGCTGAGTCTCAAGGAAAGAGACTGCAGATTAAATAGGTTAACTGGCTGAAGGAGGGTCACACAGCCCCGCTCCGCCCCCCACCACCACAACGAAGGAATATTACACCACAAAACAAATCCCAGCGAGCCTCTAGGACAGAATCGAAGCATCCCTGTGGGTTTTCAAGGCTACACATCTACACCAGAGTCGGAAACTTCATTCCTCTCCTGCCGAGCAACGAGCGGGTTCAAACTGCTAACTTTGTGGTTAGCAGCCCCACGATTCCTGCACTTTGCCACCAAAGGCATTTAGGGTAATGAGGAAAGGTGAGGAGAAGCCAGGACCACAGGTTCTGAGGGCTCCAGGCTGAGTGATTCACCACAGGCAGAGGCTGCTGGAGGTGGCTTTAGAAAAAGTCCAGCCAAGGTGTCTACATAGAAACAAACATGTGGAGGACTGCCAAGGGCAGGGGGCAGGGAGAGGGAGGGCAAATTATTCACGAGAGGAGCTTCAAAAAGTTTCAGGAAGCATTATCTTTTCATTCCAGTTTTCCACAAACTTTTTAAAGTCCCCTTACATTAACTTCACAGTGACCCCATAGGACCGAGTAGAACTATCCCCATGGGTTTCCTAGCCTATAAATCTCTTGTGGGGGGGAGCAGTGGGGGTGGGGTGGGGGAAGGCCTCGTGGTTTGGGACCACTCATCCTCTGGTTCATGACCACGGTGCCACGGGCGCTCTGAGGCAGAGTTGATTCGCTGGTGGGAAGTTACATTAACTTGTGTAAAGGAAAACTCTGCCTCCCCCGACAACAACCCCCACTGCCCTGGAGTAAACAGGACTTACAGCAACCCTCCAGGGGGTTTCCTAGGCTGGTAGTCTTTACCAGGACAGCCTCACCTTTCCCCCAAAGAACAGCTCATGGGTTTGAACCGTAGACCCTAAGATTAGTAGGTCAATTATTTCTAGTCTACAGTGCCACCAGGGTGTAAAATGGAAGGCAGTATAGAAAATGAAAAAGAGGAGAAAGTATCCCACGAGTTACCCTGTGACCATCCCCACCCCCAGACCCTGTGGCTGAAAACCCACCCCTTGGGTCAAGTCCCTCACAACCTGTGGTGCAAGACTCTGCCGCTCCCAGCTTTACCGCATCTCGAAAACTCCCCGCTGATCAGAGACGAGGTAGTTCATGAAGAAGGGATAGCAAGGACAGGTCAGCCCCGAACCAAAAAGGCTCATCGTCGAGGCCCTGGTAAGCGGGGCTGAGGTGCTACTTACACACTCGCGTGCGGCTTCTTTTTGGAAAAATCACAGGCCAGACCGAGATCCGATATCCTCACATGGCCATTTTCATCCAGGAGGATATTGGCGGGCTGTGGAGGGAGAGAGACATGTCTCCAAGATATCACAGGGGCTCTGAGAACATCTACACCAACAGTGGCTGTACACGTGCTCGTTATTGCACTGCTGTTTGCTCCTTGATATTAAATATGACTCAACTTGGGGCTGTTCACCACAGATCAAACCCACCAGCCGCTCCTCCGGAGAGAGAGGAGGCTTTCTGCTCCTGTGAAGAGTTACAGCCTCGAAAACCCACAGGGACAGCTCTCCCCTCTGCTGCCAGGTAGCTGTGAGTGGAATGGCCTCGAGAGCACTGAGTTTGGTTTGGGTTTGAGTGGCACAGTGGGACAAGCATTAGGCTGCTCAGTGAGAGGTCAGCAGTTCAAACCCACCTGCCACTCCGGGAGCAAGATGAAGCAGCCCGCTTCCGTAAAGATGAACAGCCTTAGAAATCTCTGGAACTAGCTGGACTCTTTCAATAGGGTCACTGTGGGTTGGCATTGTCTTGAGGGCCTGGGGGAGGGAGGAGGGCGGAGCATGGGCAGGGGGGATAAAGTGCCATAGAAATCGGACATGATAGTGAGATCAACATCTTTTAGGTCATCTTCAGAGTAAAATGGGAGTGACAGAGGCAAAGGGACTTTATTCATGAGCATTTGAGACACGAGGAGGGTCACAATGCCTTTTCTCCTCACTGTACACAGAAATGCCACACAGAGTGAGCTGAGTGGCCCTCGGTTGGCTCACACCTCAAGGACCAGTGGAAAGATGGCCCTGGAAGCAAAGGGCAGAAAGGGAAGTGGGAGAGGGCACAGACAGCTGACCTCAGAGACCAGCCTGACAGATACCCTGCCAGTTTACAATGGGCACGTTCAAGCTCAAAGCCAAACAAACGACCCCACAAGCTCACTGCCATGAGTTGATGCTGACTCACAGAGACCTTACAGGGCAGCGTAAAGTGTCTCAGACTGTTGATCTTGAAGGAAGCAGACTCAAACACATAAAAGTAAAAAATCAAACTCATTGGCATGGAGTTGATGCCCACTCACGGACAGGATGGAACTGCTTCTGTGGGCTTCTGAAATTTGTCACTGTTTACAGGAGTAGAAAGCCTCAGCTTTCTCCCACAGAACAGCTACTGGTTTCAAACTTCTGACCTTGAAGTTAGCAGGCTAATGCATAATTACTATGCACCAGGGCTTCAATGGAAACAGACAGCCTCATCTTTGTCCTACAAAGCACCTGTCCTACAGAGCAGCTGTCCTACAGAGCCTCCCAGTGGTTGACACTGCCCCCAGGGCGCAATGTGACTTTAACCTTGACTTGGGAAACACATCTCCATTCAGATTAGACCAAATCAATAGGACTACAGAGAAGAAAGTCCCTCTCCCCAGGACACATAGAATGACAGTTGTCTGAATGTTTGGTTTGGTTTATTTTCCCTGCTGGAGATCAACTATTATTTTCCGTGCAATAAAAATAATGGCCCCCTCTTCTAAAACTGAAGCATGAATAACCAGGAATGGCTTGAATTATGTTTTCAATAGGAATTAGATCACAGCTACTTAATAGCAGGCAAAACAAAAACTCCCATAAAAAGGATTCAAAAGCAGTTGCAGTCTTCAGTTGGAATGGATCACAATGGCACATAATTGCAAAGCAACCTGAAAGACTACAAAGCACGCTATGTTTTTTAGAAAGACCATCTCCAATAAGCTCAAAAATGAAAAGGGTTTTTTCCCCGCCCCCAGATGCTTAGCAAGGAACCCTGAGAAACGAATGGAAGTGCTATTCGCTCCCCGGAGAAAGGAACACCATCAGGCCACTCCAGTTCAGTCACAGTGGGCCATTCCAGACCGGATCTGGAACACACCTCTGGCACTCCTCTCCCGATACTAGGCGATCGTTTTTATCTGCTTGTGATGGACAACATTAAATGCTCCTTTCATCTTTCCTGTACTGTCCCAGGCCCTCCTATCTCTGTGCTTGTCCTCAGGCGAACGGCAGTCTCAGGGAGTGGAGTGTCACCCGCAGAGACGCTGAGCAGTCCTGAGCTCCCTGGCAGAGGTGGCACCTAGCACGGCGCCCTCTTCCATTATTCTGGGTTTGGGCCACCATTCCAGGGGACTGCATTAAGGCTACAGCCTCAGCTCTGACTCACAACCGGCTTGCATCTAACAGGAGGGAAGGTGGCCCAGTGCCCTGGGAAGCAGATGCTGTTTCCCCCTCATCACCAGGTGTCCCCAGTTGTAATACACACCCTTGCCTAGTGGATGTCTAGGGAGGGACAATCAAGTTTCAAGTGGGAGACGCCCAGAACTTCCTGCCTGGCTTTTTGTTTCTTAATCAATGAAAAGTTTGGATTTTGGTGGATGAGCTGCAGCGGGGCCTGCATTAGGCACTGGGGTTATAATGATGACAAGAGCCCTTGTCGCACCCTAGGGTAAGGGCTTGGAGGGTCAAGTCCACCAGCTGCTCCTAGGGAGAAAGAGGAGGCTGTCTGCTCCTGTAATTGGCAGTTTTACAAGTCCTTAGGAGGCAGGATCATCATGAGTCAGGATGGCTCCGTGGCAGTTGGGGTTTGGATGGACAGGTTCTGCCCACCTGCGGCTCCCCCCTCCCCGCCAAAACATACACAGACACAAACACATACACACAGGGTTATAGAGTTTAGGGTGTAAATGAAGAGATGATGAGTTACCACAGGATGCGATGACTTCCTCAGGATCGAGCAATGACAGACTACACACAGGAGGGGGTGCTGTGGTCATGATAACAGCACGCACCACTCCAAATGAAACTCCAAACTCTGCCATCTAGAGCATCCCAACTCAAAGAGACCATACATGAGAGAGGAGAACGTCCCCTGCGGGTTTCCAAGACTGCATTCCTTTACAGAAGTAGAACTAAGCCACCCAAACCCCCAAACCCCACATTTACTGCCACTGAGTCAATGCTGACTCATAGCCACCCTATAGGACAGGGCAGAACTGCCCCCGTGAATTCACAAGTTTAACTGTTCAAAGCCCTCTCTTTCTCCCACGGAGTGGCTGAAAGTTTCAAACTAATGGCCTTGAGGGTAACTACTCCTCTGTCAGAGCACCATATGAAGCTACCTGGGCTCCTTATAAATCATTACTGGGGTAGAAAGCCTCGTCTGTCTCCTGTGGAAGGGCTGGCGATTTCAAACTGCTGACCTTGCAGTTAGCAACCCAACACATAACCCATTAAGCCACAAGGGAGAGTCTCAGCCAGAAGTTGGGGGCTGGCCTTACCTTCAGGTCTCGGTAGACAACAAAGCGGGTATGCATGTGTTCCAGGCCCAGGATGATCTCCGTAGCATAAAACCGCATCTCCTTCTCAGAAAACACCCCATGCTGGGAGAGGTGGTAGTGCAAGTCACCTCCTGAAACCAGAGATGCTGAGTTTACTCAGAGTGGATGGAAACAGAGGTTGCCATCACCCTATAGCTCCAGAGCAGGCTGGGCAAGGGCGGTGGGGGTGGCATCAGGCCTCTGCTTTGTCTAGCTGCCAAGCTCTGGTGTCTGGATGGTGAAAAGAATGCTGAGGGAACGACACAGAAAACCCAGGCACTGAGAAGGCAGTGCCAAGATGGTGGACCTGATGGGGCACACCACTGCCACTGTTCTTGGGTTGGGATAGCTCAGCTCCCTGTTACCCCATCATTGGGGAGTAGGGCTGGGCAGTCAATTTGGATGATTTAAATTCTAATTATTGAGCTGTTAACCGCATGGTCTGCAGTTCCAGATCATCAGCTACTCCACAGGAGAAAGACGAGACTTTCTACTCCCTTACAGAGTTACTGTCTCCACAACCCCCCAGGGACAGTTCTACCTTGTCCTCCAGGGTCACTATCGGTCAGAATTGACTCAAGATCAGCGAGATTTGGGGGGAGTCGTTGAATGCACCTGCATGGTCATCCAAGAGCTGATTTAGCAACTGTCTTCATGGACAGACAAAATACAATAGTCAGTTGGATGGGTGGACATTTGAGGAAGCAAATCAACACCAAACTCCATGTCATCAATTCAATGCTGACTCAGCAACCCTACAGGACAGAGTAGAGATGCCCCTGTGGGTTTCCAAGACTGTAACTCTTGACAAGAGTCGACAGCCTCAGCTCTTTCTACAAAGCAGCAGGTGGTTTTGAACTGCTGACCTTGAGGTCAGTCGCACAATGTGTAAACCAACACACCACCAGAGTTCCAATTGAGGAAGCAAAGACAGTGCAAATATAGCTGGTGAAGTTCCAAAGGATCCTTTCGACATTTGCTACACGTTTGTCATTTTCCGTAATAAAATGCTGGAAAAATAAATGAGGTGCTCAGCCTTGAGTTATAGAAACTGAGGAAGCTGTCCAGCGACTAAGAGTATTTTCATAAAAGACCCTGGAAAAGTCTTTACTAACCTGAAAATGTCAACGTTCAACTTTACTCCCTTTGCTTTTAAAGAGATCTTCCCTTTAAATACACCCACTCAACCCACAAAAATAACATGCATCTGTGTTCCTATTGTTTTGCCAACCTGAGAACCTGATCATCTAAGAGCAGTACTGCCAGTTATTACTAAAGAGAAATAAATCAGGGTGCCTTCCTTTGTTCTTTTTCATAAAGGTGCAACTGCATAAGACTAAAATGGTACCATTCAGTTGTGGCAGATTTTATGTCAACTTGACCCTGTGTGAATGTGGATGGCTGGAGTCCAACCTGTCAAATCAGGTCACAGCTTGATGAGACCTCCTAGGTCTTGTGGCCTCTTTATACAGGAGAAACTGAGAACTTCTCTTTCTCTCTAATTCTTTGCCTTGCTGCCTGATGGGACTTTGCGTGCCTCTAGGGGTGGCCCCATGTGGGCTGCTTAACCTTGAGTTGTCGGGGCCCGACCACGCTTCCTCGATCTTGGATCCACTGATACTGCACTAACCAGCCTGTGGCCTTCCTGTTTCCCACTTCACCTTTCTGTGTTATTGGCCTGCAGCTACGTGAGTCTGAAGAGGGCCCTGGCTTGCACTAGACCCTTGGACTTGAGTTGGATTGGTCTCGGGCACTTTCTTGATACAAAGCTTCCCAATACATTTGTGAATGTCACTGATTTTGTTTCTCTAAACAACCCAGCCTAAGATATTTACATTCTCTCTCTCTCTCCTTGTTCTTCTAGTTGGCTTGAGTCAATTCCGACTCAGAGTGACCCTGTGTGTGCAGAGTAGAACAGCGCCACAGGGTTTTCAAGGCTGGAACCTTTGGGAAGCAGATTTCTAGGACCACCTTCCTAGAGGCCACTGGGTGGGCTTCATTTTCAACAAGTGGTTGCCAACATTTTCACTAGTAGTAGAGCATAGATAACTGTCTGCCCCCCAATCCTGAATCTACTATCTTTTTACATATGGGTGTGTATGCATACATATGCACGCGTGTGTGCGTATTGGCATAGCCAAAGGGAAGTCAAAAAGTATTGCCACCACAGTTCCAGTTCATCTATAAATATTCTTCAGACCAAACATGTTTAAACACGCCTCTGCCACCAGTAGATGAGACAAGTTCTCTCTATCACGCATTTGTCTTCATTTCTGAAGAGTGACTTCCCCCCATCCCATCCTCCCCAAAAAGCCCAATCAAAACAGCAGCTTCCTAGAGGGTCTACTGAGCCAGTTCAATTCAAGGCAGAGAGGTCGGCTCAGAAGGGAAGGTAACTAGCCGGGGAACTCAGAAGGCATCTTGATATATTTTCTTAAAGACACAAGA